CACACACACACACACACACTGGCACAGACACACAGACGCCACTCTACCGCCGTTCTCTTCTGGCGTGCGTCCACCCGCCGGCACACAGACGTCCATACGCGTGCATGTATACACACATAACCTTTTCTTCTACCCTATTTTCGTCTCGTTCATTTCATTTCTTCCTCCTTGCATCCTTCCCAGTCGCCGTCACGTTACTCCTTCACCGTCACCCTCATTCATTGTTTCATTTTATCTCTAATTGCGTATTCGAATCTCAATATTAATAATAATAACAATAATAATCATCATCCTCATCAAAGCCCGCAATTGCATACTCAGCTCTATCCAAGCACAGAAACACAGGAAAAGAGAGTCACAAATACATTATATCTTTTTTTTCTTTTTGTTGTTGTTTTTTGTTTGTTTTGTTTGGCTTATCGGCGTTCCTGCCAGCCTGCGACTACTGCTGCTGTTGCTGCTCACGGATCCTCGCGCTCACCCTCCTCGCTGTCCTCCTCCGCCTCCTCCTCGGCGGTGCGCAGAAGCGAGATCTCGCGCAGCAACTCCTTTGCGCTGGTCGCCGAGACTTGGCAGCCGCGTATCCGAGAGTCGAGCTCACCCATCAGGTCGCCAATGTTGCGGTTCAGCACATCCATCGCGTCGTCGTGCTGCCGGCCCTTAACCTCAAGCTCTACCACGAGCGCCTCCTTCTCCCGTTTCAATCGCTCTAGTTGCTGCCGCATGGAGTACAGCACCTCTGTGCTGTTGTTGTCGTCGTGTGGGTCGCCAGCCTCTACGGTTTCTACCGCCGTTATTGACGACGGTGCCACGGTGGGTTGGTGTCTATCGTCCTGCATCGTCTCTACGGCTGACTCGAGCTGCCGCATGGCAGACTCGAGCTCCTGCATCTCCTCGTCGTGAGCAGCCTGCAGGTCGAAGAGCTCTTGCTCGCGCCTCTCCAACGTGAGGAGCGCCGCCTTTTCCGCCTGCCGCGCCCCCTCGAGGAGGCCGACGAACTCCTCCAGCTTGCCGAGTGTGTCGGTGTATTCCAGTCCCTTGACCTCCAGCTCGACCATCAGCGCGGCAATCTTATTGTTAAGACTCTCCATCGCCTCCTTGTGGCTCACAGACCTCCGCGTCATCTCTTCCTTCAGCGCGTTGTTCTCCTCCTCGAGGCCGCGGAGCCGCTGCTGGAGCTCCTCCAACTGCGGCTCCTCGCCTAGCAAGGCGGCTTCCTCCTCCGCATCATCCCGATTCTGCTGCGCCGCCGCCGCCGCAAGATTGCGCTGCACATGCCGCAGCCCGTCGCGCTCACGCTGCTCCTCATCCCGGCAGCGCTGCAGCTCCATCAGCGCCTCCTCCTGCGCAAAGAGGCGGTTACGCGCACTCACCTCCGCCTGACGGGCCTCCTCCAGCAGAACAACCATTTCCTCCATCTTCTCCAGCATGTCGGTGTACTCCGTCGCCCGCTCTTCCAACTCATCAAGAAGATCCAACTCACGCCGGCCATGCAGCTGCTTCGCGACCTTCAATCCATCCACAGCAATGTGCAGTAAAGAAATCATAGAAACCGAATCCAAGATCAGGCGCTCAAAAAACTCCTCCATCTCGGCAATCAAAATAGGATCTGAACCCGCAGAACGCGCACGACGAATCCAATCAACTGCTTCCACCAACAAATCTATACCCTCATCAGAAGACCTACAACTCTCAAGCAGACGTCTCGCCTCGCGGAACGGGTACTCTTCCAGCCGCCGCGAGATCTCCTCCTCCGGCACCGACGCGGGGTGCGTCACGTCCATCTCCACCAGCCGCCCGTCCGGCGAGAACACAACGTTGCTCACATCATCGCTCACCACGCGGCACGCGTTCGCGGCATCGGCAACAACAGCAGCCCGCAGCGTCTCCGGCCTCTCCTGCAGAAGCTCCGCATAGCCGTCGTCGCCCAAATCGCGCCCGTGGTGCGTCGTCGCGGTCTCCACGCAAAGGTCAGGCGCACACTCCCACCGCGCGTCGTGCGACCGCAGCTCCGCATTCTCCGCTCGCAGCTCCGCGTTCTCCGCAAGCGTGTCCTGCAGCCGCGCATTCGCCTCCTCCAGGGCACGGGTCTTCTCCTCATCACCGCCACGCAGCGCTTCGTTCTCCGCTCGCAGCTGCTGCAGCTCCTCGGTCGCCTTGCCCAGCTCATCATCGAACTGCTCCAGGGCACGGGCCTTCTCCTCATCACCGCCGCGCANTCTCCGGCCTCTCCTGCAGAAGCTCCGCATAGCCGTCGTCGCCCAAATCACGCCCGTGGTGCGTCGTCGCGGTCTCCACGCAAAGGTCAGGCGCACACTCCCACCGCGCGTCGTGCGACCGCAGCGCCGCGTTCTCCGCTCGCAGCTGCTGCAGCTCCTCGGTCATCTTTCCCAGCTCATCATCGAACTGCTCCAGGGCACGGGCCTTCTCCTCATCACCGCCGCGCAGCTGCTCCAGCTCACGCTCCCGCTCAGCCAGCTCCTCTCTCAGCAGATCAGCGCCGGTCTTCGGCTCCTCACGCTTCTCCAGCACACGACTCGTCTCGCGGAACGGGTACTCTTCCAGCCGCCGCGAGATCTCCTCCTCCGGCACCGACGCGGGGTGCGTCACGTCCATCTCCACCAGCCGCCCGTCCGGCGAGAACACAACGTTGCTCACATCATCGCTCACCACGCGGCACGCGTTCGCGGCATCGGCAACAACAGCAGCCCGCAGAGCCTCGGGTTTTGTCTTCAGAAGCTTCGCGTATGAGGTAGTGCCAAATTTCCGATGGTGGTGCGTGGTTGTGGGATTTGAGACGGAGTGGCTGTTTACTGGCTCCCACCGTGCGTCATGCGAACGGAGTTCCTCGTTCGTGTTTCGGAGGTCTTTGAGCTGCTCTGCAAGTTTCTGTATCTGATCTCTGTATTTGTTAGCCTGCTCGTCTTTGTTGTCGTGTGTCTTCTCCAGGTCTTGGATTTGATTGTGGTATTGCTCTATTGCGCGCATATGATCCTCTTTGTCCTTTGCAAGGCTGTTGCACATTTCATCATACTGTTGTTCCCTCTGCCTTATGTTCATATCCTGCTCGTCCAGATATTGCTGGAGTCCATCAATGTTATTCTGTGCCTCGTTTAACTGTTGTACCAATTCTTCGTTTTGTTTACAGACGCCATCAATGTCGTCGCGCTGCTTCTCTATCTCCTTTTCAAGGTCGTTGTTTCTGGCCTTGGTAAGCTGTAGCTCCCGGAGTGTGTCTTGCAGGGCGTCGTAGAGTAGCGGGCGGTGCATCTCAGCCCTGGATACGATGCGTTTAACCTCATCTGTTTGTATGGTGACAATGGCGCTGCTGTCATTGCTGCTCTTGTCTTCAAGCATCGCCACGATGGATGAACGTGGGACCGCGATGTGAGGGGTATCAGAGGCGGGTGTGAATGTGAGGATAGGCGAGCTTCCATAGCCATTGCCGTTGGATGCACCGTTGGCCCCACTGTAGGTGTGCAGCTGCTCGTTGATCTGCCTGATGCGTGCGTTGAGGTCCTTCATGCGGGAAATGTGCGTCGTGATTGATGCGTGTATTTCGTCCGTATTCTGCTGCGATCGCGCCAACTCCTGGAAGACGTTGAACAGCTCCAACTGCGCAAATGCCCAGTCGTAGAAGACAGGTGCCATTGCGGTGCCACTTGTCGTCGGCCCGCTGCATCCTGACGCCGTGGAGGAGCGTCGTGTTTCTACCCGGTTTATGCTATTGTCCTGCATGTAGCGGGCCTGTACTTCCTTGTACTGCTCCTCACTCATCTCCGCCACCGCGTCGTACTCAAGCAGCCGCTCAATGAACATCGGCTCACGCAGGGCGGCGCGGAGGTCTTCCCAGCCCCATGCTGCCTGCCCAGCGAGGTCGCCGTTCACGATCATGATGCAGGCCTCGAGCGCTAGCCGCAGTGGAGCCGGCGGCAGGCGGGTGTTAAAGAGTTCGTGCAGCCGCACCTCCTCCAACTCTGCGACGGCCTGGCGCGCGGCCGCCACCAAATCCTTCACACGTGCCACCTCTGTCTCGTTGCTTCGCCGAATGGCGGCGAGATCCTCACGCAGCACGAGCATCGTCTGTTGGCTGTCCCGCATCTCTGCCGCCTTCTTCTCTTTCTCCTTGTGGAGCGTGTCGACGATTCCGGCGTTGTGGCTGTTCTCCACGCACCAGCTCTGCAGCAGTGCGTGGTGCTCGCCCAACTCCAGCACGGATGCAAGCGACCAGTGCCAGTTGGAGGCGTGATCAAAGAACTCGTACGCGACGAGGCAGCCGGGGCGCACCGGCTCCTCAACGGAGTGCAGCCGCGACACAACGGAGGCGTACCCCTCCGCAGGAGAGCGCACGGACCCCTCAGATTGTGCGTCGCAACTAGATGTCATGACGCAGTGGGTCACTCACGTGCACGCACAGACACTATAGATCGGCCTTCCGCTTGTTTTTCTTGATTCTCCGTCCGTATGTGGAGATATGTGTGTGTAGTGTGTGTGGAACTGTGTATCGATGTGTGTGTGTGTGTGTCTTTTTTTTTT